CCAGTATTGCGTCAGATTCTACAATGCCAAATCGAGCGTTTCTAGTTACAACTGTTATCTGGTAATAAATTTAACGTCACACGCCATGGAGAGAATTAAAATCATCCTCCATTGCTCGTTTAACATCGTAAAACGAGCAAGTAATAATATTTAGCTCCCTAGAATTATAAACCCGTCATTATCCAAGCATTTTAGCCGCAACTGCGAGAAATAATATTATTCGTAGTAAATAATTTGTGAGCAAATGCGGGACGCCAGGGAGAGACGCCATTAATCGGAGAGGGTGTGGAGGCGTCGGTGTTATAGGAAAGGCGCCAAAGTGCGGTGTGAAGACTTGTTGCGGAATTGAGCAACTCGTTTGGTGTCAGTGTTATAGGATACATTGTGGTGAATCGTCAACAAGAATTAACTTGACATTCAGCCCGGAACTTGTCAATTTGTTCCGTGTAATCCATCGTGACCGGCCAGAGAAGCGCGTCGACATTTAGGCCAAGCTAGCCACCACGTGTTCGCCATTGCGACGCTAGAGCCTGGAACGCGAGTTTCGGCAAGCTTCAACTTATACAGTGCCCTATTAGCTAAGTACACATATTCCCTTTTGATGCATCATTAGAGATTGTTTACAGCAGGGTAGCTTGTCGTCACGCCGAGCGACATAAGTAAAACACATTTTAGTATATTTATTACTCTCCATTCCCAATTTCTTGAATATAGATATTTAGTAGCCTAATATGTTGCTACGTAATATATCTTAATTTACAGCTTGCGTGTGAGGAATTCCCCGAGCTGTTGCTTTACCCGTGTTATTCATCTCCCAGTGTTCCAAGAAGAATTCCAGAGATTCCGAGGATGATTCATGATTGATGTCTTGGAAAACGTCTTCAAGCTAAGACCTTTTTCCGTATTTTAATTATTCAAATTATCTGTATTGGATTATCACTATTGATCACTGTGCACTGGATTTAACACGTGTTTATTATAATCATTAATTTCTGATGTTCATAATCTATATTCTTGTTGGTGACAAATACCCTACTGATTCTCTAATTGGTCATAGGATTAGATTATTACACAATGAACTAATGTACGAACCGCATTAGTTCCTAGACATTTTTGAAGTTCTAGCAATAACCCCCCAACGTAGATGTTTGAGGCTTTGATTCAAGTAAATTATTTATACAGCCCATTAATTATTCAAGTGATTATAATTTCTAGTATTTATCCATAGTTACTGGTTCCTCTAGGAATTTCAAATTATCACATTTTATTAGTTTCCCTCTTTACTATAAAAGAGGGTGGTCCTTCTTAATTATTTTCATTACTTCAATAATTAAATAAATAGAGTCAAGTCCCAAATATCCCACAATACGTGTTAAATGATTGCTATATTGTTTTGACGTGCTATATTGAGGCTTAAATAGGGATCCAACTTGTACATACCGGGGCTCACATTAAGGCTGTTGTTACAATGTTTGATCAGAGCAGACTCGATCACGTTTCGTTCAACAAAATCCTTACTTTTAACAATACATTTTGCCCCTGTGAAGTCGATAGAATGATTACATAAACTGGAATGTAAATACAATGCACTGGATTGCTGGGCTGTACGAATAGCATATGAATGCTGTTTTAAATGCGAGGAAACAGATTTACCTGTCTGGCCGATGTAAACACATGCACACTCATTACAAGGGATGGAATACACACAATCTGCTACAGACGAGGGCGAGTTCTTAATTAACATGGACTTAACTGCATTATCATTTTTGAACACTAGATTAATATTAAAGTTCTTCAGGGCTGGGGCAAGATTTACTAGACCCTCAGAATATGGTAATGCCAACGAATTTTTCAGTTCTGGTTTAGACTTAGTAGTCTGTTTGTAGAAAGTCCTTTTTGCTTGACAAAACGCAAGATCCAAGATCGATTTTGGGTATTTTAACTTCTTCCCAATTTCAAATATATTTGCTATTTCTTCATCGAAAAATTCCGGACTGCAAACTCTCAGTGCTCTGAGAAACATACCAGAAAAAACTGCCCGCTTGACCTGAACCTGATGATTTGAATAGAAATGTACATACGAGCACACATTGGTAGGTTTCCTATACACACTGAATTTGAAACTCCTACCAATTCTATGAATCATGATGTCTATAAAAGGCAGAACACCATTCACTTCGTTCTCAATTGTAAATTTAATTGACGGAACCAGCGAATTAATTTGATTGAGAAAATCAGTTTCGTCATGGTTAACCGGCCACAGGCATAAAATATCGTCAACGTACCTGTACCAAAGCAAATTTGAGGGTAAAATCCTGGGAAGGATATTTGTTTCGAAACATTCCATGTACAGATTGCTCAAAACAGGGGAGAGGGGATTACCCATCGCCATGCCAAATGTTTGTTTATAAAATGAATCATTAAAGCTGAAATAATTATCTTTAATGCACAATTTTGTAAGTTCAATAATGGTGTTAGTAGGTAAAGTTAAATTATACCTTGGGAGTAGATTCCGTAAGAATGCCAACAGATCATCAACAGGAACCCTATTGAACAGAGCCGTCACAATAAAACTCACAAGTTTAAAATCATAATTTAATTTCAAACTAGACAACTTGTTAACGAAGTCCAAGTTGTTTGTTATGTGTGAGTTGGAAATGAAACCTACTACTGGAGACAAGACTTGGACAAGCCATTTGGAAAGTCTATATGCCACAGAGTATATGCCATATACTCCCAAGGTATAATTTAACTTTGCCAACTAACACCATTATTGAACTTACAAAATTGTGCATTAAAGATAATTATTTCAGCTTTAATGATTCATTTTATAAACAAACATTTGGCATGGCGATGGGTAATCCCCTCTCCCCTGTTTGGAGCAATCTGTACATGCGTTTGTTATGGTTTTCGTTAGCTTTGTTTTTGTAAGTGCTATTATGTCTGGGTTTTCTTCTAGGTGCCCATTCTCCGAGTTCACTTGTTTTATTTGTAATCCCATCTATGTTAGTGTACATTGCCTTGAAGCTCACTTTCTTCTGTTCATTTTCTAGTCCCCTTCTTGGCGAGCATTCTGCTGGTGGGAAAAGCTGTTCCCTGGGTGAGAAGATCTGTGAAGTGGTTTGCAGGGTCTCAGAGGATTTTGGGGTGGGGGTGGGGGTGCAAGGGAAGGGGGGACAGGTAGGGTGTGGGTTAAGGAGATAGGGGGGGACATGGAGGATACGGGGTGAAGGGGAGGAGGGATAGGGAGGGTATTGGATGAAGGGGGAGAGGGGAACAGGGGGGGGGGAAGGCAGGAGGGGTGACATATTGGGAATGGGGGAGGGGTTATAGGGTCAGAATGGGGTGGGGGGAGGGAGGGTTGGGTGAGCATTTGGGTGGGGGCAGGTAGGGTGAGGGGAAGGGAGGATTTCTATGCAGAGGGGAGTGGTGGTGTTGATCTCCCTTCTGGTGTTGCTGGGATGCTGGTTGTGGGTTCCCCACTTATACCTGGGACTGTTGTGTTGGGGGCTGCGATTTCCTGGTTTACTCCTCTCTCCCTGCGCTTGTGTGTGTGTGTGTACTCACCTAGCTGTGCTTGCGGGGGTTTAGCTTTAGCTCTTTGGTCCCGCCTCTCAACCGTCAATCAACAGGTGTACAGGTTCCTGAGCCTATTGGGCTCTATCATATCTACACTTGAAACTGTGTATGGAGTCAGCCTCCACCACATCACTCCCTAATGCATTCTATTTGTCAACCACTCTGTGTGTGTGTGTGTGTGTGTGTGTGTGTGTGTGTGTGTGTGTGTGTGTGTGTGTGTGTGTTGTGTGTGTGTTGTGTGTGTGTGTGGTGTGTTGTGTGTGTGTGTGTGTTTATGTATTCACCTAATTGTGCTTGCGGGGGTTGAGCTCTGCTCGGCTCGCCTCTCAACTGTCAAATTAATCTAGAGGGGAAACGCCTGCTGCGTCCTCGGTTACTGTCCGGAAGCAGAAGAGCTTCAAGAGATCCATAACCTCTAAGAGAGAGAGAGACGTTAATGGAGATATGTATACAGGTAGAGGTGTAGCAGGTATGGTAATGGAGATATATACACAGGTAGAGATGTAGCAGGTATGGTAATGGAGATATATACCCAGGTAGAGGTGTAGCAGGTATGGTAATGGAGATATATACACAGATAGCGGTGTAGCAGGTATGGTAATGGAGATATATACCCAGGTAGAGGTGTAGCAGGTATGTTAATGGAGATATATATACAGGTAGAGGTGTAGCAGGTATGGTAATGGAGATATATACAAATGTAGAGGTGTAGCAGGTATGGTAATGGAGAAATATACCCAGATAGAGGTGTAGCAGGTATGTTAATGGAGATATATACACAGATAGAGGTGTAGCAGGTATGGTAATTGTGTAGCAGGTATGGTAAAACTTCTGTGTACCAATTTATTTCATGGTGAACAGATGCATTAGGTGATACGAAACGCGCCCAAACATTTCTGTCCCGCTTAAGATTTGGACTCAGAATTCTGGATATGTTTCTTTTAACGTTTGTCTGTTGCTACGTAAGAGAACGGTGGTATATCTTCTTCCTCACGGCTTGGGACTGTCTTTGATAATTACTTATACTTACCAGGGATACGTCGGGTTCAGTGAAGTCTACCATCCGACTGTGTTTATCTGTAGAGTTATCAAGTCTTTGAACAAGATTTATCCATTGTTATGGTGTTGTGGATGCTACTGGGGGACAGTGCCAAGAGTGTCACACTAGTTTGGTTAATTAGTAAAATGCTTTTAAAATTTAATTTTTAAATCTCAAATTATTTTTTCATTCTATGAGCTTTTTATTATTTAAAAAAATTATTAACGTAAACTGTTTTACATTAAATATTATAGAAAAACCTTCAAATATTATTTCCATATCTTCTTGCAGGCAAATCCAACTGCGGACTCCATACTACAAGCAGAAGATTCTCGGGCGAACCTCACCCATCACCTCGAGTGAAGCTTTCACCAAGCTTTCACCAACACTCCAGTCAGTCACCCACTCGTCTTGCTTGTCGAACACACCCAATAGTCACCCACTCGTTTTGCTTGTAGAACACCCCCAACAGTCACCCACTCGTCTTGCTTGTAGAACACCCCCAACCACCCACAGAACACACCTAACAGTCACCCACTCGTCTTGCTTGTAGAACACACCTAACAGTCACCCACTCGTCTTGCTTGTAGAACACACCTAATAGTCACCCACTCGTCCTGCTTGTAGAACACACCCAACAGTCACCCACTCGTCCTGCTTGTAGTCACCCACTCGTCTTGCTTGTAGAACACACCCAACAGTCACCCACTCGTCCTGCTTGTAGAACACACCCAACAGTCACCCACTCGTCCTGCTTGTAGAACACACCCAACAGTCACCCACTCGTCTTGCTTGTAGAACACACCCAACAGTCACCCACTCGTCAGAACCACCCACTCGTCCTGCTTGTAGAACACACCCAACAGTCACCCACTCGTCCTGCTTGTAGAACACACCCAACAGTCACCCACTCGTCCTGCTTGTAGAACACACCCAACAGTCACCCACTCGTCCTGCTTGTAGAACACACCCAACAGTCACCCACTCGTCTTGCTTGTAGAACACACCCAACAGTCACCCACTCGTCAGAACACACCCAACAGTCACCCACTCGTCAGAACACACCCAACAGTCACCCACTCGTCCTGCTTGAAGAACACACCTAACAGTCATCCAATAGAATGCAGACATCAGCATCCATCACTAGTGTAGATAACCACACAATCACTAGTGTAGACAACCACACAATCACTAGTGAAGACAACCACACCATCACTAGTGCAGACAACAATCTCTAGTGCAGAAAACAATCACTAGTGCAGCTAACAATCACGATTGCAGACAACATTCGCTAGTGCAGACATCAATCACTAGTTCAGACAACAATCACTAGGTCAGACAACAATCACTAGGTCAGACAACTACAACTATCTCACACATTGACAGGCAAAACTTCAGAAATTTTATCATAAAACAATATTGTTACTTGTTATTATATAAATATATAATATATTCTACGATGAGTGAGAGTGCATGAAGAACTGATCAATGTACCGTTGTGGGGGGCAGGTAGCGAGGATCGGCCAACATAACGACTGCTTCCTCGCCTCAGACACGGATTTCGGCACGTACGTTAACAAAGCGATGGAGTACCCATACCTGAAGAATGAAACACTGTACCTCTCCATGGGTGGTGAGACTTGCGCGAACAACCCACCCAGGTTAGTTGATGACCAGTAACTACTGCGTGTCCCCAGGTCAGTCCTGGTGATGACCAGTAACTACTGCTGCACTAAACATGTCCCCAGGTCAGTCATGGTGATGACCAGTAACTACTGCTGCACTAAACATGTCCCCAGGTCAGTCCTGGTGATGACCAGTAACTACTGCTGCACTAAACATGTCCCCAGGTCAGTCCTGGTGATGACCAGTAACTACTGCTGCACTAAACATGTCCCCAGGTCAGTCCTGGTGATGACCAGTAACTACTGCTGCACTAAACATGTCCCCAGGTCAGTCCTGGTGATGACCAGTAACTACTGCTGCACTAAACATGTCCCCAGGTCAGTCATGGTGATGACCAGTAACTACTGCTGCACTAAACATGTCCCCAGGTCAGTCATGGTGATGACCAGTAACTACTGCTGCACTAAACATGTCCCCAGGTCAGTCATGGTGATGACCAGTAACTACTGCTGCACTAAACATGTCCCCAGGTCAGTCATGGTGATGACCAGTAACTACTGCTGCACTAAACATGTCCCCAGGTCAGTCATGGTGATGACCAGTAACTACTGCTGCACTAAACATGTCCCCAGGTCAGTCATGGTGATGACCAGTAACTACTGCTGCACACAAACATGTCCCCAGCTCATCACATAACACACACTGAACTACCTGCTCATCACATAACACACACTGACCTACCTGCTCATCACATAACACACACTGACCTACCTGCCATCACATAACACACACTCCTACATAATAACACACACTGACCTACCTGCTCATCACATAACACACTGACCTACCTGCTCCTGCTCATCACATAACACACACTGACCTACCTGCTCATCACATAACACACACTGACCTACCTGCTCATCACATAACACACACTGACCTACCTGCTCATCACATACCCTACCTGCTCATCACATAACACACTAACTCTACCTGCTCATCACATAACACACACTGACCTACCTGGTCATCACATAACACACACTGACCTACCTGCTCATCACATAACACACTGACCTACCTGCTCATCACATAACACACACTGACCTACTTGCTCATCACAAAACACACACTGACCTAGCTACCTGCTCATCACATAACACACACTGACCTACCTGCTCATCACATAACACACTGACCTACCTGGTCATCACATAACACACTGACCTACCTGCTCATCACATAACACACTGACCTACCTGCTCATCACATAACACACTGACCTACCTGCTCATCACATAACACACACTGACCTACCTGCTCATCACATAACACACTGACCTACCTGCTCATCACATAACACACACTGACCTACCTGCTCATCACATAACACACTGACATACCTGCTCATCACATAACACACTCACCTACCTGCTCATCACATAACACACACTGACCTACCTGCTCATCACATAACACACTGACCTACCTGCTCATCACATAACACACACTGACCTACCTGCTCATCACATAACACACTGACCTACCTGCTCATCACATAACACACACTGACCTACCTGCTTATCACATAACACACACTGACCTACCTGCTCATCACATAACACACACTGACCTACCTGCTCATCACATAACACACACTGACCTACCTGCTCATCACATAACACACACTGACCTACCTGCTCATCACATAACACACTGACCTACCTGCTCATCACATAACACACACTGACCTACCTGCTCATCACATAACACACACTGACCTACCTGCTCATCACATAACACACACTGACCTACCTGCTCATCACATAACACACACTGACCTACCTGCTCATCACATAACACACACTGACCTACCTGCTCATCACATAACACACTGACCTACCTGCTCATCACATAACACACACTGACCTACCTGCTCATCACATAACACACTGACCTACCTGCTCATCACACACACTGACCTACCTGCTCATCACATAACACACACTGACCTACCTGCTCATCACATAACACACACTGACCTACCTGCTCATCACATAACACACACTGACCTACCTGCTCATCACATAACACACCTACCTGCTCATCACATAACCCTACCTGCTCATCACATAACACACTGACCTACCTGCTCATCACATAACACACACTGACCTACCTGCTCATCACATAACACACACTGACCTACCTGCTCATCACATAACACACACATAACCTACCTGCTCATCACATAACACACACTGACCTACCTGCTCATCACATAACACACACTGACCTACCTGCTCATCACATAACACACACTGACCTACCTGCTCATCACATAACACACACTGACCTACCTGCTCATCACATAACACACACTGACCTACCTGCTCATCACATAACACACACTGACCTACCTGCTCATCACATAACACACACTGACCTACCTGCTCATCACATAACACACACTGACCTACCTGCTCATCACATAACACACACTGACCTACCTGCTCATCACATAACACACACTGACCTACCTGCTCATCACATAACACACTGACCTACCTGCTCATCACATAACACACACTGACCTACCTGCTCATCACATAACACACACTGACCTACCTGCTCATCACATAACACACACTGACCTACCTGCTCACACATAACACACACTGACCTACCTGCTCATCACATAACACACACTGACCTACCTGCTCATCACATAACACACACTGACCTACCTGCTCATCACATAACACACACTGACCTACCTGCTCATCACATAACACACACTGACCTACCTGCTCATCACATAACACACACTGACCTACCTGCTCATCACATAACACACACTGACCTACCTGCTCATCACATAACACACACTGACCTACCTGCTCATCACATAACACACTGACCTACCTGCTACCTGCTCATCACATAACACACACTGACCTACCTGCTCATCACATAACACACTGACCTACCTGCTCATCACATAACACACACTGACCTACCTGCTCATCACATAACACACACTGACCTACCTGCTCATCACATAACACACACTGACCTACCTGCTCATCACATAACACACTGACCTACCTGCTCATCACATAACACACACTGACCTACCTGCTCATCACATAACACACACTGACCTACCTGCTCATCACATAACACACACTGACCTACCTGCTCATCACATAACACACTGACCTACCTGCTCATCACATAACACACTGACCTACCTGCTCATCACATAACACACTGACCTACCTGCTCATCACATAACCACTGACCTACCTGCTCATCACATAACACACACTGACCTACCTGCTCATCACATAACACACACTGACCTACCTGCTCATCACATAACACACACTGACCTACCTGCTCATCACATAACACACACTGACCTACCTGCTCATCACATAACACACACTGACCTACCTGCTCATCACATAACACACACTGACCTACCTGCTCATCACATAACACACACTGACCTACCTGCTCATCACATAACACACACTGACCTACCTGCTCATCACATAACACACACTGACCTACCTGCTCATCACATAACACACACTGACCTACCTGCTCATCACATAACACACACTGACCTACCTGCTCATCACATAACACACACTGACCTACCTGCTCATCACATAACACACACTGACCTACCTGCTCATCACATAACACACACTGACCTACCTGCTCATCACATAACACACACTGACCTACCTGCTCATCACATAACACACTGACCTACCTGCTCATCACATAACACACACTGACCTACCTGCTCATCACATAACACACACTGACCTACCTGCTCATCACATAACACACACTGACCTACCTGCTCATCACATAACACACACTGACCTACCTGCTCATCACATAACACACACTGACCTACCTGCTCATCACATAACACACACTGACCTACCTGCTCATCACATAACACACACTGACCTACCTGCTCATCACATAACACACACTGACCTACCTGCTCATCACATAACACACACTGACCTACCTGCTCATCACATAACACACACTGACCTACCTGCTCATCACATAACACACACTGACCTACCTGCTCATCACATAACACACACTGACCTACCTGCTCATCACATAACACACACTGACCTACCTGCTCATCACATAACACACTGACCTACCTGCTCATCACATAACACACACTGACCTACCTGCTCATCACATAACACACACTGACCTACCTGCTCATCACATAACACACACTGACCTACCTGCTCATCACATAACACACACTGACCTACCTGCTCATCACATAACACACACTGACCTACCTGCTCATCACATAACACACACTGACCTACCTGCTCATCACATAACACACACTGACCTACCTGCTCATCACATAACACACACTGACCTACCTGCTCATCACATAACACACACTGACCTACCTGCTCATCACATAACACACACTGACCTACCTGCTCATCACATAACACACACTGACCTACCTGCATCATCACACTAACCACCTGACCTACCTGCTCATCACATAACACACTGACCTACCTGCTCATCACATAACACACTAACCTACCTGCTCATCACATAACACACACTGACCTACCTGCTCATCACATAACACACTGACCTACCTGCTCATCACATAACACACACTGACCTACCTGCTCATCACATAACACACTGACCTACCTGCTCATCACATAACACACACTGACCTACCTGCTCATCACATAACACACACTGACCTACCTGCTCATCACATAACACACACTGACCTACCTGCTCATCACATAACACACACTGACCTACCTGCTCATCACATAACACACACTGACCTACCTGCTCATCACATAACACACACTGACCTACCTGCTCATCACATAACACACACTGACCTACCTGCTCATCACATAACACACACTGACCTACCTGCTCATCACATAACACACACTGACCTACCTGCTCATCACATAACACACACTGACCT